TGTTAATGTGTTTATATACGCGGGCTTCAACACGGAAATGAGAAATACCTGGGTTAGTATTTTCCGGAGTACCAAACGAGCAATATTTACTTGTTTTGGAAGACAAGAGGGGATATAAAAGAGATTTTCACAGTTACTGGTTCTAGACATCTGACTGAGAACTTTCGCTAGCTTGGTCGAGGAAACAAAGAGGACAGAGAGAGCCATCACTTATTGGCTAACTGGTTGCTTAGCAACAAGAAGTGATGTTTTGTTGTCGGCTTGTGATGTCGCTACACCCATTTCTGATTTAAGGGTGTTAAAAGTCGACGGAAATCTCATGCTTGGTGTATTTGAACCTGCATTGACTATTTAACGTTATCTCATCAGTGAACAACTTTAATTCTCCCTCCCTTTCCAAAAATACTAAAACTGGGTTTAGATTTTGGCAAAAGCAAAACGGTGAATTAAAGGCTAAGAAATTAAAGCCAAACCCGTGTGAACTGTATGCTACAAAATGGCGACACAGCAAAGTTACAATGACAGGAATCATTGAAACTCTTTTTTGTTTTGGGTATTACGTGAAATGAAGCAAATAGACAACTCTCGAGAGTTTGTTTTGCATTTTTTGTGTTTTGTTCATGTAAGAGGTCACGAAATGTAACATTTCGCAAAAACATATATGTTTCATGTCAACCGCCATTATGGATGCGAAGCTTTATGCTTCGTTCTCTCTGATATCACTCGATGAAACAACTTCGCAGCTGTGAAAATCAAAGAAACTATTGGAAAAAGAATGTAAAATGCCTCAAAGATGAGGTATGTGGTTCGAAACGAATAACATCGACTCGCATTCCATCGGGTGAGACTCACAAACATTGGGGTGCTGAGACTGCGCAGTACGGAGTGGAAATCATCTTTAAGCGAATAAACTTTAAAATAATAGTGAACCAATTAAAGTGGAAAAAACATCAAAGAAATAATAGTTAACCAGAAAGGGATAGGATTGTGATGTCTGAAAAAGATTGACATGGATAGTTAAAGAAAATCTTGAGGAGTTAATCCGCGCATGCGTAAACTGCATGCGTTCCATTCCATTTACAACTCAATTTGTATAAGCGCGACATAATCGAAAAGTATACATTATATAACTATTAAAAGAAATCATCAATGGAATCCACAGTAACGTTAATGCGGACTATATAGTAATCTTCATTATCCTTACACGATATCGAAAAAAATTATGAAAATGACACTTCTACCTACTCGAGCTTGGTTAATAAGATATATATATATCTCGTGTACTTATTCGTCAACACACAAATAAAGTTATAACATTGTCCTAGGTTGGTGTTTTAACTCTCTTGATGAAAGTACATTTGCAAAATGAAGATTGTTGTCGTCAGCAAGATGTGTTAACGCCGGCATGTTTCCGTTCCATTCAGTGCGGAACTAGTCAAAGGAAGTATTTTCTCAATTTCAGTCAGCTCAAGTCGCACTCTCCCAAAAGAGTCTCTCTCGGGAGTGTACGACCCAAGGAGAACTCAAGGAAATCTCTGTTTCAGACCCAATGGGCTCTTGGTATTCAAACGAATAGGCTTACTTCTCCGTTCAGTCCGTCATACCGGCCCACATAATATATATATTTTTTTATTGTGGGGTTCTACTTGTGGACAGGCTCACGGACTAAATTAAACAAATAAAGATGACCATGAGGCAGTTACAAAGCAATTAACATGGGAGGGTCACAAGTAATGTAGCCATTCTCATTTTCGACTCACTTGACTACCAAAGACAAAGGCTGGATGGTCATTGAGCGGCAATACACCTGAAGACACCATCAGAGATCGCATGCCAACTCAAATTCAGTACCATCAAGAAGCTCCCGCTAAATTGAGACCCGTTTACCTCGAATCCTCAGCGATCTCGAAGTGAAATTCGTTGCCCATTTGCTGGATTCCCTCGCAATATTCGGTCATGCACGTACTAAGGACCCCCCCGAACTCGATTAACTCTGATCTCCGCTATCCTGAACGAGGTGTAACTACCAGTAGGTCAAATCAACACTGATCCCTGACTTTAGTGACAACAGGACAAACCACTGCTCAATAACAATTAAACGAAACACTGAAGTAAGAAACAGTATGCCGGGATAGCAAATATCGTATACAGTTATTTCAAAAGGCCACGTTCGATATTTCAATATTCAAACTTAGCTCCCAGACTTTCAGCACAAACTTCTATATTTGGTGGTGTTTCCTTG